GCAGATGTCAAACGACACAGCCGCCTGCCGCTCCCAAACGTCACAAGCGACAATATCCGCCCTGACCCCACCTTTCCTCTCCTCTCCCTCCTTCAACACCACCTCCTGACGCACACCAGCGTCATCCCATGCCATCCCAGTCAGCTCGGCAAAAGTGTCCCGCAGCTCGTTGTGGCGACGAGTCACCAGGCCGTACCGCTTGCAGCACAGCGCATGGTCGACGGTGAGGGGCTGGTTGCAGTAGTCGCAGCGTGCAGCGAGGCCGGGGGGGTGACGGCCGTAACGCAAGTGAGGGCATCTCGAAACTCCGCAGCATCAAGACCAGTATTATTGTCTGTCGACGGGAGGGTGGTCAGCCAGCCGGACGTCTTGTACTCGGCGCTGCGGGAGAGGACGCGATGGCGCCGGCGGTCGATGTGCGGTAAGGCGGCCTCCCTCTTGGTCTTGTGGGCGACGTCCTGCTGCTGCTTGCTCCGAGTGAGGGTGTAGCGGATGGTGGCACGATGGTCGCTAGGGTGGAATGGAGCCTTCCCTTGGACGGACTTGGAGACCACCTTGGTGCTCGCGCGGGAAGCGGGGTAGGCGGCTGCGGCACGGTCGAGAGGGTCACGTATGCCAGTGCCGCCATGCCGGGCAGGCAGCAGCATCAAGTCGACCTCGGACGGCGTCATAGGGCCGCCGAGGAGGGCCGGCAGCAGCTCCTTGGCGATGGCCTCGCGGAGGGGGCTGAGAGCGGACTTGTCGCTGAGGACGACGCGAAAGACGTAGTCCCACTCCATCTGCAGAGACCTCGTTATTGTCGCGTGGGTGTGGGGAAAGTTGCGGGCAGCAGAGGCGAGCGCGCACACGCCGTGCACCCACCCCTCGACCTTCTCGCAAAGAATCGCCGCCCTCCCCCCCTCATCGCCCACATAGCCGCCCAGGATCCTCTTGCCCGTGACAATTTGCACCCCCTCGGGCTCGAAGAGCTCCCTTGCGATCTGCTCGAGCTCAGGTTTGACGACGAGGAAGCACTTGGCGGCCTCCGGGTGATAGCCGTATGAGGGATTGATGCGGCGCAGGGCTTGAAACC